GGCTGCCAAGCCTCGGGATGTTACAGCGCTCACCTTTGCACCGATGCGTGACTTCACAGAGGGTCCAACCTTGAGGAACAAAGTCTAAGCATCGGGGAAAGCTATCATCCAGCCCTATCGCTGTATGGTTCTCCCATGAATTGAGCCCCTGCAAAAAAGGTTTTGGGCTGGAAACCGTTGCGTCGCGGGCCGGTTCTCGGGGCGTGAGGTACTTCGTACTGTCGCCCCGCCCATCTTTGGAGTCGCCCCGGAGGCCGAGTTGATCCGGAACTCGCACACGACCTTCGCCCAGTTTCGAGCAGAAAGAAACCGATGTCACACCTTTTTTGCGGGTCTTTTGGGGAAGTGAGTGAGGAAACCCCAGGGCAGTGTTGGGCAAACATGGGTTTCAACAGGGCCATGGATTAGGAAGATTTCTTGAACAGCAGTACTTGTTTATACGTGTTCAACGAGTTGATTGGCCCAACCCTGCCCCAAAATCATACAATTATTTGGGTGCCCCCCCCGAGGGGTGCCCCCCTCTCGGCCCCAGAGCCAGGGGTTTTGCATTTACCACTCTCTCTTTGAAAATCATGCTGCTTGCGAGAAAACCTGTAGTCAAACGGGAAGCACTTCGCTTGATTTTCAATTTGCCCGGCCTAAACGACAGGAAACGCATGTCACTGGGGGGCCCCAACCCGGTCTCACTGGACTTTTCATGTTTCCAAACGCGAAGAATCAAGCGCACGGGCACCAAAACAATTTCTGCAAGTTCAAGATGGTTCCATTTACTGTTTTGAAGGAAAACTGCGCACCCTCCCCGCGTACAGGGGGGGGTGCCCCCCCCCCCCTGTTAGCTTGCTAATAGCAAGCTAATAGCAAGTTTGTAGCCTAATAGCGCCAACTGGAGGCGCACCCCTCAGCCTCCTGTGGCCCACCCGCGCCACCAAAGATCCCTCATGTTCAGGAGGCAATGCTCGTTTATATTCGAAATGGAAGGCGAAAGGCCAAACACACAAGTTAGTTTGGGTGCAGAAGAGCGTACCTTCAGACTTTTCAAACTCCGCTTCGCTGCATGGCTGTGTTACACAGTATACAGGCCAAAACTGTGTGGGCCAATTTTGAGGTGCGAACGTGCTAACAGAACCAAATAACAAATAGCTTGCTATTAGCGTGTTATTTGCAGTACTTCCACTCCGCGCTAATAGTTTGCTATTAGCAAGCAAATAGCCCGCAAATAGAAGCTTGTTGGTGTGCCTGTGAATCGCAAAGGAGGGGGGCACCCCTGGAGGGGGGCACCCCACATAATTGTATGACAAAAACCCGAAGCAAATCAACTCGTGAACGCAACATGAACACATTCAATGAAACATTTCGTCCATAGGTTCAGGTCAACCAGGACCCATCATGTTGATTTCATGCGCAGCCATGCAGCCCATTGTCATTTCAGGCTTCTCATCTTGCTATTTCCCGCATCTTTTTTGTGAAAAGGAGTACTGTCCGAATGAAGCGTTGCTAAACGATAGGTGGCTCACTCTGCCGTGGTCGAAGATCCCATTACTTGGGGGTAGGGATGGTCACGAACCCCTATCAAGTATTTAGCAGCCAATAAAAGGGTTCCATTTGAGGAAGCCCAGAGATGTGCAATTTTCCACACCGGCTAGCGGCAGAATGGCGCAGGCAGGATGAGAATGCGAACCAGAACGTTCCCAGGCTGGGAGTCGGCGATGTTTCTTGGAACGAGGGCTTGGTTCCTCCGAGGAACCTCCCCCCTTTGGAGGATTCATTTGTAAGACCCTGGCCATATGTGCTTTGGGTGGGCAGTGGGGTTGAGCTGGCTCTTGGCTCAACAGGAGATCCTCGGCCCAGTGAACTCTGGCGGCTTCCTCTGCGTTTCGACTCTCGTGACACCTTTGACTACCTGCTCTTTTCCAGGAACACATAGGGACCCGCAAGTCCTTTGGCTAGAAACTTGCAAATCCGTTCTTTCCGCTTTTTCCTTTTCTACCCTTGTTTGGGCTCGTGTTCCCTTGTTCGGGAGGCTCAGTGAGCTCCCTTGGAGTGAATTGCTTCTCTTTTCTACGCGCCAGATTTCTGGGTCGAATGGCTTGGAGCGCATTTCCCAAGTTCGACAGGGTGTCTGACGGTCTTTTGTTTGAGTTGGCCAATGGAAGGAAGAGCTGCAAAGGGGCAGGGGACTAGGATTCTTGAAAAGGTACCAACCGGCTAAGGGGAACTCCGGGTTCCATCTCCCGGTCGAGTGGCTAGGAGCCCAGAGCTGGCTCCACGTCAACAGGGTCGGGCAAGTTTGCCTGGGGATCGTCCAAGCAAACTGAAATCCAAGAAAAAGAAACAGCTGAGGGGGTAGATTTTTGGTAAGGCTTCGCACCCAGCCATCCCCTGAAGTTTTTTTAGCTTTCTAGGGGGTGGGTTGCCATGTCAGCCGCCAAGATGGACACTTTTAGCAGAAAATCTGAAAGCGGACAGCCTGGGGAAGCCAAAGTTGTTGGAAGACAGGGCGGTTTACACCTAGGCTTGCCAGTGCCCTTTTTAGCCCTTTTTTTTGGGGGAGGGTTCCCCAAAATAGACAAAACAGAAAACAAGTGGGGTACCCTTACTCTAACCTCTCTACTAAAAAAGAAGAAAAGCAAAAAACGGGTACCAACTTCTTCTAAGCTCTCTACTGGAAAAAGCCTCACGGTTTCAGCTCGAGAGCTCGGAAGAGCTCGGAAGCCTTTTCAGCCTCGCAGGGCCGTGGTGAAGGTGGTGAAAGGCCGGGGGAAGGGGACGGAAGGTTTGGGCGGAACGCCCAGTCCGAGTCCTTTGTTTGTTTCGCTCATATGACTCATACATATTAAACATATACACATGTGTATGTATTATACATATTAAAGTTAAGTGTATATATATATATATGTATATTTACAGTATACATACATATATGTACTGGACGCGGGCATTTCAATTTGAACCGCCCCCCAAGCTCAGAAGCAGATGGACTCTGAGCTATTGGATCAGTCAACACAAGGAGAGCACCCCTGTGGCAGAACGCATCTCCCTCGTGCAAAGCGGTGCAGGACACCAAACACCTGAACATGGTAAGATGCTTTTCAAAAGGACGCCATGTGTTTCATAGGGATTTGGCCCCCCACATTGGTCATTTTTCCCTTTAACGCAAGGACAAGATGTGCTCAGGGCATAAGGCCAGCGCCTGGGTTTGCCTTTTGGACCGGTTCTCCAGGTTAATCGAGGACGGGTGCAGAAACCAAGGGACCCTTGGTGTCCCTTTGTTTCCCTGGAATCGGGAAGGCAAGTTGCTTCCGCAAACGAAACGGGCTGCGCTTCTGCTCTCTTAGGCCTTGAAGTTTTTTTCTCACTGGCGAAACTGCGTGTGAGGCTTGGGTTGACCCTGCGTACTTGGAAGCTAACAAGGAGTAGCCGAGTAACCTGACTGCCCTGCGGATTCTCTGGACTTGACGTCAAGTGTGCCCGCAGCGAAGCTGGACAATCCAGAAGATATGCATCACGCAAAGAGTTGATCTTGTGCGAAAGGCGTTTCACAGCCATTTGGAATCGGAAGCCACGAGAGCTGGAAACATCGACCTTGAATTCATGGAAGGGATGGGAGGCTTTTCAGTCGCCCCCGATGTTTCTGAAACATTGGGCAAACGTCTTCTGAGGGCTTGTTTTTTTGTTGTCTTGATCAATCAGCTTCCTTCTAATTGGAGGTTTGGTGGTTCCCCATTTTCCCTCTACAAGAACTATGGGTTCAAATCCCCAAACCAATTAGGGCTTACCTGAATCCAAGCGCTTGCATTGATCAAAGCAAGGGAAGGACTTAACTTAAGTGCACTGCGCCATGCTGGCGGCGTCAACGCCCGCGCTGGCTTTGTTAAAGCGGCTCCGGCTGCGAGGCGAGGCGGTGACTGGGCGACGGACAGTTTGTTGCAAAAGGTGCCAGTGTCTTGACACGCCAAGGCATTTTTAGGATTGGTCACAGGGAAACCAACATCAACACCCACTCTGGGGGTTCCCAGAGACGAAGCCACATTGGGTTTGGTTCCCAAAGGAGGATGTTGGGACAGCCATGGTTTGGAACTCCAAGAATCGCGTGGCTTTCTTGCTGTCCCCAACCTTTGTCACATCGACCAGCCCTTGGGGCTAAAACGTTGTAGCGAAACTGCTACACAAAATCCGGGCAAAAGCGTTGCCGCAAAAAAAGCTGCACGGAATGCAGAAGCGAAGACGTTGCGCTGATGCACTCATGCTGATTGAGTGAGCCAAGACGAATATTCCTTGAGTTTCAGCTTAAGGAGTGAAGTTTTCAATGCTTTCACACCTCTGCACCCTGACTTGGGGCCGTTTCCGAGGGATTGCCAGGGCGACATTTCGAACGCACTCTAAAATTGTCCAAAACTGAGAGCTGTGGGGCGCTCTTCGCGTACTGCTTTTGTAATCAAAACTTGCGAACTTTCAGCCGGAGTTGAGGGAATATCCTCCGCAAACTACTTGTGTACCTAGAAGTTGCGAATTTCGAGCCGGAGCTGCGGGAGTGCGCTTCGCGTACTACTTTTGAACTAATAAATTGCGATTTTGCAGCCGGAGCTCCGGAGTGCTCTTCGCGTACTACTTTCTTAAAAAGCGCGATTTTACAGCCGGAGCTGCGGGAACGCTCTTCCCGTACTACTTTTTGCACCTAGAAGTTGCGAATTTCGAGCCGCGGATGCGGGGCTTTGCGCGCCAGCTTTGTACGCAAAGGTTGCCTGCGCAGCCGGAGATGCGGGAGGGCACGTCGCACCTCGCACGGTGCAACAGCGAGAGCGCTTCGACACGCACGATCTCCGCAGAGGGTTTGCCGAGCTCAAGACACATTCGCACGGCGCCACAGCGAGAGCGCTTCGACACGCACGATCTCCGCAGAGGATTCGCCGAGCTCAAGACACATTCGCACGGCGCCACAGCGAGGGCGCTTCGACACGCACGATCTCCGCAGAGGGTTCGCCGAGCTCAAGCCAAATTCG